CCTTCGGCATTCTCCTTTCCTCTCTGTCAGCTATTTTGCGGAGTTCGTCTAGGTTTTGTATTGGTTTCCAGTACACTTTTTCTTTTATGAAGCCTCAGTAAAAGAAGTTGAGTGAATTTAAGTCTGTCAACGAGGAGGTCATAAAATTGTGCCAAGGCGTCCAATCCACTAGATATTCTGTATTTAAATGATTCCGTGCTGGACGAGAATAATGCGCTGGGCTCTTCTAATAAATTTGGCAAATGATTTTTTTAAATTAAGATAGTTGTCGCCATTTAAGTTTTCAGGCAGCTCAAATGCTCCGAATACGTGTCCGTTTAAAATTCCGCTCCACATATGTATTCACTTTAAATTGGTGTTGGGAGGGATCTTCACGTATTAAATGTGGATTTTCTATGTGTCAACCGCTTAGGTTCTGTAAGTTTAAATAACCGTATTTTTAAAGGTCGTTTCATCTGTCCATAAAATCTTGTTAGGAAACTGCGAATCTTCATGATTTCTCGCCAACATTGTTCTCGCCAACATGTTCTGCAAAAATCGATCCTGGGTACGTAGTCACGAGGTAGCAAACTTTGTACTCGTTGCACATGTTAATGATGATATTCGTATCGCTTTAAAATTCCATGTACAATACTATTCGGTATTTGAGTGTCTCATTTAATTGCATGTACTGAAGAGCTAGCATCATTTTCAATTTCATTTAAAACTACGTCATCTTCGTTTCGTGGTGATCTACTACCTGACCTATGAACACTTGGCATTCATCCTTGCGAATACGACTGATGCACATTGATGAACAAGCGGTGATCTGAGTGACGTGCCGCACTTGGGTATCTCTCCCGATACAATATGGCTGCGGCAGAGGCGTTACAATGGCATTCACTGTAGATAATACGCATGTTCGCATATTCTTGCACAGTATACACGTACGGAATTTTGGCAGAACAATAAATAATAAAGTCCAGGGAAATGCAGCCAAAATCGTCAACACAAATGCGATATCAAGTCCAGGTAACTCAATCCAAAGTTGTAAGTATGAAAGATACACAGTTACGAGCAGATTTGCAGTAAACAAAGAAATGATGCGTACTGAATGATAATAACCAATAATCAATTTAAACATCGCATCGGTGTCACTAACTGTCTCGCTTTCTCTAAAAACAAAATATCAGTCTACTCCACTGCTAAGCACTTGCAACAACTTGCACTTTGAACAGCGTCACACTATATCTAAATCCATCATATCTGTCTGTCTCGCTTACACAATAAGAAAACAAATCCTTTTGCACACAAAAATACTATTCAGGTTAAAAGTTTGTTGTTATGGCAAGATAAGTAGCAAGTGTTGTACTATTTTAAAATCTTCATTAAATGGGCCATTTTTTAAAACAACTTGCCATGGGCATGGTAGTATAGTACATATTTTTTACGACAAAGCATCAACATTATGTGTTAAAACGTTTTTACCATGACTTAATTAAACTTTATTTTTTGTACTAAACTCACAATATTAATTATTAGATTTGTGACTGCAATCAATCGCATAGTTATTTGAGATAACATTAAAAACACTGGAAAATTTAAAAATTTGTGATCACCGTACCTAAATATGTGATCTAGGGTGTTGATCTTCAATATTTTCAAAAGTATACCTTTTATAACTAAACCAAATAACATGTTCTTTTTGCTAGAACTGGTACAACCTAGTTTATCGCCCCGTATTCGTTTGACGTGGAGTTTTGAGATAACCTATATATACATAACATACATAAACACTCACGCCTGTCACCCAGAGGGGTAGGCAGAGACTACAGACTTCCATTTGGCACGATCCTGACACACCTCTCTCGCCTCCTTCACATCCATACACCTCCGCATACATGCTCGTCGGTTAAGGGTACTTCTAATTTGGCCCGTTTTCAATAAATCATATGCCATTCACTTCTGCAACATAAATTTTCTTTGTCACTCTTTCCTCATTCATTCTTTCCACATGACCAAACCACCGAAGCATTCCTTTCTTAATCCTGGTCACAACATCATCTTGCAAACCACACTCTTTTCTTATTACAAAATTTCTTACCCTGTCATTAAGATTCAGCCCTAACATACTCCTACCGCATTTCTACTGCGTTCATTCTACTCTCGTGCTTCTTCTGCCACACCCAACTTTCACTACCATACGTTAAAGCCAGGACCAACACAGCATTGTGAATTGCCATACGTGGCTTTTTCGACACATTTTGACTCTTCACAATAGAGTGCAGGGCCCCATTTACTCTATTTCCCGCATTCACTCGTCGTTCTATATCCTTATCATATCTTCCATCCCTGCTAAATAAGCAGCCCAAATATACAAACTCATCTACTTGCTCGATCAACTCCCCTTCTATTCTTATTTCACAAATCGTTTTACTTTCTTCTCTTTCAAAAACCATAACCTTCGTCTTACTTGCGTTTACTTTCATACCCCTTTCTTTTAATGATCTGTTCATTAATGTAACCATCATTTGCAACTCGGCCGCCGACGACGCAAGGATAACTTGATCATCGGCGTACAAAAGGCATTTGACGGTTAACTCACCCATTCTTAATCCGCATTCTTCAACTTTCAAATTTTGCAAACAACTGTCCACAAATAGGTTGAACAGCCACGGAGAAGCCACACAGCCCTGTCTGACAACTTTATGGATGTCAAACCAGTCCGAGTAGACCCCGTTGATCCTATCACAAGCACTAGAGTCCCTATAAAGGGACTCCAATGCCTGTATCAAGCCAGCGCCCAACCCAAATGACTTCAGTGTTTGCCATAGCACATCCCTATTCACTCTATCATAGGCCTTTTCCAAGTCCATGAACGCACAAAAAACCTTTTGGTTTTTGGCCAAAAACTTCTCCGCGATCTTGCGCATGGAAAAGACTTGATCTGTACATCCCATTCCCTTTCTAAATCCCGCTTGCACATCCCAAATTTTTCCATCAGTTTCTTTCATGACCCTTTCAATCAGTACCTTAGCATACAGTTTTCCCACAATGCTAAGAAGGCTGATGCCACGGTAGTTTTTACAGTCCTGCTGCGACCCTTTTCCCTTATATACTGGGACTATCACGGCTTTGCACCAGTCTACCGGTACCCGCTTCAGTTCCCAGCATAAATTAAATAAGGTGTGCAGCAGGCCTGCCACTACTTCCTCTCCAGCCCTTAGCATTTCGAGTGAAACTCTATCATATCCGGCAGCCTTACCTGCTTTCATGCTTTTAATTGCTTTCATTATTTCATCTATACTTATCTCGCTACCTCTTTCCTCTTCTTTCGGTGTTTCTACTTCACTTAGTACACACGTTGTCTCCTCACTCATAAACACGCTTTCAAAATATTCCTTCCATCTCTTTAAACTCAAAACTTCATCATTGAGAATATAGCCATTCTCGTCTCTTATAGCATTCATCATAGGCTGTTTTAAATGTCCCCTGGCAGTTCTTACAAGTTTCCAGAACATTTTAATATTTGCCTGGAAGTTATCCGATATTCTTCTATTATTCTTATCCGTTCTTTCTTGCTTTTTTCTTTCAACTACTTTTACTCTCTTATTAAGATGTCTAAAGACTGCCTTTTTTCTTTCAATATCACCATTCGTACCACTAGAATTAGCAGCCTTTGTTGCTAGTAAATCTAGCCATGCTCTCTTCTTTGCTTCAACTTTCATACGTACCTCATCATCCCGCCATAACGTATTACTTTTCCTTTCATTCTTTCTCTTACTAACACCACATACTTCGGTAGCTGCATCCACTAAACCTTTCTTTACATTTTGCCATACATTCTCCAAGTCTAACTCCTTCATACATAGTTAATCCAAACCACTTATATTTTCTTTCAGTCTACATTTGAACTTGTTTTTCTCACCTTCATCTTGTAACCTTTCTGTTCTAATACGCTGTAACTCAGTGGTAGACACAGATGATCGAAGGCGCCAACGCCTGAATAGACCATTTATTCGGCATAAAACCAAATAATGATCCGTTCCTACGTTAGAACCACGGTAAACCCTTGTTTCCACCACTGCGCCCTTCAATCTTTCATCCACAATTATTAAATCTATCATGCTTCTATCGTCACCTCTTTTCCAAGTATACCTGTGAATCCTCTTGTGGCGAAAGCAAGTGTTCGCCACAAAAAGATTCTTTTCCATACATACGGTGAGAAGACTTTCACCATTCTCATTTATACTTTCATCACCAAACGTTCCCAATATTCTTTTATAACCAAGCCTCCTTGTTGTGGGTATTCTTAAAATATTATATATTAGAAAACCGCCTTTATTAATAAAACAGTTGTCATCTGAACTCTGTTGTTTCATTGTCACTACATGGTGGCAGCGGTGAAAATACCTAAATAGTTTTGGATTTTACGTTTGAATAACGTTAATTTGTATTCTAAATTAAGTGTAAAGGATGGAGCATGCAAGACCGCCAACCGAATTGAGTTTAGATGGCAGCCCCTTCGGCCGGGCTGACGCATGGAAGTGGTGGAAGGCACTTCCATGCGTCAGCCCGGCCGACGACGACAATTCAATCTTTTTCTTAAAGCATCGGGGGGTGCACAAAGAAGAGGGAAGCATACAGGCGAGTTTGCTCATTAATCTGATTGGATCAGATGGATTTGATGTTTATGAGACTTTTACATTCGATTCAAAAGAGCAGCGAGAGGACATCGAAATATTGATGAAAAAAATTTGACGAGTATTTCGGTGTTCAATCTAATATAACATTACTGAGATATAATTTTTTTTCAAGGTATCAAGAAACTGGAGAATCTATTGATCAATATATAATAGCGTTAAAGTTACTCAGTAAAAACTGTGAATTTAAAAATTTAGAGCAAGAGTTGATTCGCGACCGTATTGTGTGCGGCATAAGGAGCACAATTGTAAGGGACCGGTTGTTACGGACAGATGAATTGACTGGAGAAAGCAATTAAAATATGTCAAGCTGATGAAATGTCAACAGACAGCAAGCGTGTGATGGAAACAGGTAACTTCGGCAGTTCGGCGAGCTGCGGGCCCGTGCGCGTTGAGGCGCTGGCGATGCGTGGTGGCGAGCGGCGCGGTGGCGGACGCAGCGGCGGGCGCGGCGGCCGGCGCGGCGCGCGAGTTGCGCACGGCGGGACCGCGGCGTCACCTTGTCCGCGTTGTGATGCTCAGTGTACTGATGTAGGTTCATGTCCAGCTATTTCGGTGAAATGCTATGTGTGCGGTAACTACGGCCATCACGCTAGGATGTGCAAATGTAAAAATAGTGTTAAAAAAATGTATGAAATAGAAGTGAATACAGAAAAATCTGATAATGATGATTGTGAGTCGTTTTATGTATCTGTGTTAATGGATAAAACGCAGAACAAAACCGGCGGCGATGACTGGTACGAGGTATTAAGAGGTGAGTGTGGCTTTGAACGTTTTAAGCTAAATACCGGTGCCGACATTAATGTGTTATGTTATAAGAGATTTTTAACGCTGGGGTTTGACACGGAAATGATATGCAATAATAATAAAATGAAATTACAGTCGTTTAGCGGGGATGTTATTCCGATAAGAGGAGTTTGTCATCTTAAATGGTGGCATAAAAGTAAAATGTATGTTTTAAAATTTGCAATAGCAAATATTAATTGTGAAAGTGTGCTGGGTCGACAAGCGTGTTCGGAACTAGGGTTAATTTAACGGGTTTACGGCATTAATTTGGTAGAAAATTCGGATCTTTTTGAAGGCTTAGGATGCTTACCTGGTGAGTACCATATAGTTATTGATAAATCAGTTAAACCTGTAGTTTGTGCTCCGCGAAAAGTACCTCTAGGATTACGTGATAAATTATTAGAAGAATTAAACAGGATGACTGACTTAGGAGTCATTAGAAAGGTCACTTACCCAACACAATGGGTTAATTCAATAGTGATTGCAGCAAAAAAAGAATGGAACATTGCGAATTTGCTTAGACCCGAGACCTCTTAATAATGCTATACAGCGTGCACATTTCCAACTGCCAACCATCAAGGAACTTGCCATTAAAATTCACGGAGCTAGTTTTTTTTTCAGTATTAGATGCAAATTCAGGTTTTTGGGCAATAAAACTTGATGATCATGGTTCAGACTTATGCACCTTTAGTACACCGTTTGGGCGCTGTCAGTATTAAGGTTACCTTATGGTTTAAACTGCGCTTCAGAGGTGTTTCATGCTAAGATTAAGCAATTAATAGAGGATTTAGATGGAGTAGATTCTTTTATAGACGATATAATATGCTGGGGACGAAATAAAGACGAACATGATAGGCGTTTAAATGCGTTATTAAATAGGGCTCGTGAAATTAATTTAAAATTTAATAAAGATAAATGTCGTATATGCGTTGAGGAAGTGACTTACTTGGGTCATATATTTAATAAAAACGGGATGAAACCAGATTTAGAAAAAGTAAAAGCAATAAAAAAATATGCCAACTCCAAAAGAACGAAAATCATTAGAACGACTTTTAGGAGCCGTAAATTATTTATCTAAGTTTATACCTAAGTATTCTGAGCGTATTTATCCGCTTACTCGATTATTGAATAAGGACACAGAATGGTGTTGGGAGAGTGAACAACAGAATGCGTTTGATTTATTAAAAGATTTAATAAGCAAATCACCCGTGTTGGCTTTATATGACGTATCGCAACCGGCTGTAGTTTCGGTGGACGCGAGCAATGTAGCGCTAGGAGCCGTGCTGTTGCAGGGCGGCCGACCTATTGAATATACTTCACGTACACTCACCGACACACAGACACGATATGCGCAGATAGAAAAAGAAATGCTAGCTATTCTCTTTGCGTGTGAAAAGATCCACCAATATATTTACGGTAAAAGAGATCTTTAATTGAAGCAGACCATAAACCGTTAGAAAGCATTTTTAAAAAGCCCTTAGATTCGATACCAGCACGCTTACAGCGAATGATTTTACGATTACAATGTCATGATCTGATAGTTACATATAAGCCTGGAAAATATATATACTTGACCGATACATTATCACGTGCTCCTATTCCAGAACTATATAGTGATAAAGTGAGTGATAATGTATTATGTCAAGTACATATGGTAGTTTCTAACATGCCCGTTTCACATAAAAAATTAAGTGTAATTAAAAATGAGACTTTGAAAGATAATAACTTAAAACTTTTAATGAGATATATAAATCAGGGTTGGCCGGAATATAAACGAGATATTGAAGATAATTTAAAATATTATTGGTCTATGAGAGGAGATTTATTTTGTGTAGATGGCGTTATATTTAAAAACAAACAAATATTAATTCCCAGTTCCTTAAGAACCGAAATGTTAAAAATTATACATGATGGACATTTAGGGATAGACCGCTGTAAAAGGCGCGCACGTGAAGTGCTATTCTGGCCAGGGATTTCTTATGATATAGAGAGATATGTAAATAGGTGTGTAGTGTGTCGAGAGAATTCAAATAACTCGAGTAAGGAACCGATGATTGCTGTTTCTATTCCAAATTTACCATGGAGTAAAATCGGGACGGACATATTTCAGTATGGTAAAAAATCATATCTGATTATTGTGGACTATTATTCATGTTTTACGGAAGTAGCATTGTTACATGAAACTACTTCTAAAAGCGTCATAAACGTACTGAGAGAAAATTTTGCTAGATATGGGATACCAGACATTGCAATAAGCGATAATGGTCCAAAATTTTCAAGTCGGGAATTTAAAAACTTTGCGGTGGAGTGGGGATTTGAACACATAACGTCATCACCCAATTACGCACAATCAAATGGTAAGAGTGAAAGAGCCGTGCAAACAATAAAAAAAGATATTAAAAAAATCCATAGATAGTGGAAGTGACTTTTATTTAAATTTGCTAAGTTATCGAAATACGCCTCGCGATAATTTGAATTCTCCCGCACAGCTGCTGATGGCTCGTAGGTTAAAATGCAGGCTACCAGTGCACCCAGACCTTTTAAAAATAGGACATGTAAATAATGAGAGTCAACACAAAATTATGATAGATAAACAAAATAAATAGAAAATGTATTATGATTTACGTGCCAAGCCTTTACCTGTATTGGATGTCGGCGATAAGGTGACTATGATAGAAAAAAATAATTCTAAAATTCCAGGTCATATCATTGCAAAAGCGGCGACTCCCCGCTCATATTTTATTACAACTAAAAGAGGAATGGTGTATCGCCGCAAAAGCAGACATCTAATAAAAGATAAAACACAAGAAAATAGAACGTCAGCACAAATAGTACATGAGAATAAAGAACATAATTCAATGACAACAAAAACTACTTTTACGAGTAGTGAAAATGAGGAATATTCTTCGAACGATGAATATGAACCGACAATGTTAAATATTGAAGTTAATGAAAATTATTCTCCGCCTCTCACTCGAAGTAAAATAAATAAAAATAAAAAATAACCGGTTTAATTAATCCTTTGTAATCACAAAAAAAAGGTTAAGGTTATGGTAAAAAAAAATGTACTAAAGTAAGTTTTTTATTCATGTCTTTCTTGGTAAGATTATTTAAAAATAAATCACTTTTGTTAAAAACTTATTCTTTAAGGGGAAGGTGTTGTGGGTAGTCTTAAAATATTATATATTAGAAAACCGCCTTTATTAATAAAATAGTTGTCATCTGAACTCTGTTGTTTCATTGTCACTACACTCCTCACCCCAACCCTTCCATTAAAATCTCCTAGCATAATAATATTTTCATTTCCCTTACACTTCATTAACACCATCCTTACCATTTCCCAAAACTGCTCTCGGATATAAGTGGGCTTAGACATGTCTGGGGCGTAGCGTAACACAAACAACTTCTTTAAGCGCACTTTCATTCGTATCCATAGCAGTCTTGGGCTTTCATTCATTCACATTCATACTCTTTCACACATTGGCCCATTCTTTCTGAAAGGATGATACCTACTCCCTGGCATGCCCGCTCGATCTCGTCTACACCAGACCAGTATGCGGTATACTTGCCATGTGTAGTGACGTCCTTCCCCTTCCTTTTCGTCTCATTTACACATAACACATCTATTCCTCTATCATACATCATATCGCATACTTCATCCATTTTATCACTCATTGCCCCACATACATTCAACGTAGCGAGACGGGCCTCTGCAATCCACTTTTCGTCTCTCCGGGAGACAGAACGTGACGGGTGCCGAACTTTGTCGCCGGTTTTCCTCCCGAAACTTTTATATATATATAATTTTATATCATTATTTACACTATTTAAATAAAAAGTTCCATTCATTACATTGAGAGGTTAACGTCGGCAGCCGTACTAGTATAAAATGTGCCACGGCTGCCTAAATATATATAATAAAGAGCAGTAGCCCCAAAACTGAGCCCTGCGGTACGCCAGAATTTATGATTGTAGAGCTACCGTGCATTTCATCGATTTTAACTAATTGACGATAGTTTGAAAGGTAAGATTTAATTATGTCATATGCAAATCCACTAATGCCAAGTTCTTTTAACTTCGCAATAATAGTTAAAGACTAATAGTGTCAAAAACTTTTTTTAGTCTCGCAAGCACTACTTGTTTTTTATCGGTACTAATATTTACCTAATTAACTAAATCCAACGTTGCAGAAAAAGTTTTAAATTTTTGTCTACAGGTACACTGTTTTTCGTAAAAAAATTGTATAAAGGCAGATATCACTCAAGTCTATATAAATTCCTTTTTCAATTTTCTTTGACAAAACAGGAACAACGGTCACGGGTGACTGAGGTGACTGACGTCCCTGTTATGATGTCAATGTTAACCCGGAGTACCTTCAGCTTTTTAATTATTATTTATTGGCCGATATACGCAGAATGAACTTACTGTGTCTTGAATTCTTGCAGTAGTATACTTGAATTTAGTTTTAATTTTATCAATTATAAGATCCCAAGGAGGTGGTGGTACCCAGCCTCCTTTTCTATTGAGTTTAGAATGTTTAGTTGGCATGTTTTTTAATTTCAATAGCCTCACGTGTCATCCTCGGTAGGAATCGATGTTCTTTCGCGAAGATTTGCGGTTTATGAAATCTAGATATAGCCGTCTAGGATATGGTCACAAACTACAAACGGAACGGAACTTTGATGCTTCACGTCAGCTACATGTTCTTTTACGTGGCTTCTAGTTAATCTTTTAGTTTGCCTTATATATAATTATACATTTAGAAAGTCATTAGCAATGAAATTTTTTTAACATTTAATGAACTTGGTATTTATGTTATCTGGTCCAGAACTATCCTATTATTTAGTCTATTAACTATCTGAAAAATTTATGATGCACTTCTTGATG